GGTCACCTTGGACACATATTGACTATGTTTACCTCTGGTCTAGTTACAATGATGTTCTGGTCACATTACACACTCATATAATTTGGTTACCTGTGGTCACCTTGTACAAATATACACTATTTTGACCTCTGGTCACCTTACAATAATGCTCACATAACACAATCATTCACTTTGGTTACTTCTGGTCATCAAACACATATATTGACGTTGGTTACCTCGGGTCATTTCAACTAAAGGCCGGAGAACACAGTTATTTCGAAGTGCATTTCTTTTAGACAATAAATGGAAATTAAAAAAATCCCACCTGCGCTTTCTCAATAATATTCTTACAGTATGGTGTACTACTTTTGGGACAAATTATAGCAAAATTTTAGAAAACTCAAAATATGGACAATTTTATGTTAAAGGGGTCTTGAATTCTTTTGACAGCTTCCGAGATACTAATTTTTAACCATTTTTACTTGGACCAAATCACTTCTTTACTCTAAAATCCATGACCTAATTTTTTTACAGTGTAGTTTCATTCCCCTAATTGCTATGTGAGGCATGAAACATGAAGAAATAAATGTGGAAAGGGTATAAAAAAAATAGCAAGAAACACACTGTTCACACTAGGGACTATATTCGTAGACACCGAATTGAAGGGACGATAACTCTGTTCCAGGACCAATATTGACTATGGTTACTTCTGGTCACCCTACACTGCTGTTCATATATTGACTTAGGTTACCTCTGGTCACCTTGGACACATATTGACTATGTTAACATCTGGTCCAGTTACAATGATGCTCTGGTCACAGTACAAATTCATTTAATTAAGTTACCTCTGGTCAACTTCTACATATATTCACTATGTTGACCTCTGGTCATCTTACAATAATACTCACATAACACATCATTCACTTTGGTTACTTCTGGTCACCAAACACATATATTGACGTTGGGTAACCTCTGGTCAACTTACAATAATGCTCACATAACACAATCATTCACTTTGGTTACTTCTGGTCACCAAACATATATATTGACTTAGGTTACCTCTGGTCACCTTAGTTACATATTGACTATGTTGACCTGTGGTCACCTTACAATAATGCTCACATAACACAATCATTCACTTTAGTTACGTCTGATCACCAAACACATATATTGACGTTTGTAACCTCTGGTCACCTTACAATAATGCTCACATAACACAATCATTCACTTTGGTTACTTCTGGTCACCGAACACATATATTGACGTTAGTTACCTCTGGTCACCCTACACCGCTGTGCATTTATTAACTTAGGTTACTTCTGGTCACCTTGGACACATATTGACTATGTTTACCTCTGGTCTAGTTACAATGATGTTCTGGTCACATTACACACTCATATAATTTGGTTACCTGTGGTCACCTTGTACAAATATACACTATTTTGACCTCTGGTCACCTTACAATAATGCTCACATAACACAATCATTCACTTTGGTTACTTCTGGTCATCAAACACATATATTGACGTTGGTTACCTCGGGTCATTTCAACTAAAGGCCGGAGAACACAGTTATTTCGAAGTGCATTTCTTTTAGACAATAAATGGAAATTAAAAAAATCCCACCTGCGCTTTCTCAATAATATTTTTACAGTATGGTGTACTACTTTTGGGACAAATTATAGCAAAATTATAGAAAACTCAAAATATGGACAATTTTATGTTAAAGGGGTCTTGAATTCTTTTGACAGCTTCCGAGATACTAACTTTTAACCATTTTTACTTGGACCAAATCACTTCTTTACTCTAAAATCCATGACCTAATTTTTTTACAGTGTAGTTTCATTCCCCTAATTGCTATGTGAGGCATGAAACATGAAGAAATAAATGTGGAAAGGGTATAAAAAAAAATAGCAAGAAACACACTGTTCACACTAGGGACTATATTCGTAGACACCGAATTGAAGGGACGATAACTCTGTTCCAGGACCAATATTGACTATGGTTACTTCTGGTCACCCTACACTGCTGTTCATATATTGACTTGGGTTACCTCTGGTCACCTTGGACACATATTGACTATGTTAACATCTGGACCAGTTACAATGATGCTCTGGTCACAGTACAAAATCATTTAATTAAGTTACCTCTGGTCAACTTCTACATATATTCACTATGTTGACCTCTGGTCATCTTACAATAATACTCACATAACACATCATTCACTTTGGTTACTTCTGGTCATTAAACACATATATTGATGTTGGTAACCTCAGGTCACCTTACACCGCTGTTCATATATTTACGTTGGTTACCGCTGGTCACCCTGGACACATATTGACTATGTGTACCTCTGGTCCACGTACAATGATGCTCTGGTCACATTACACACTCATTTAATATGGTTACCTCTGGTCACCAAACACATATATTTACTATGGTAACCTCTGGTCATCTTACACCGCTGTTCATATATTTACTTAGGTTACCTCTGATCACCTTGGACACATATTGACTATGCAAACCTCTGGTCCAGTTACAATGATGCTCTGGTCACATTACACACTCATTTAATTTGGTTACCTCTGGTCACTTTGTACATATATTCACTATGTTGATCTCTGGTCACCTTACAATAATGCTCACATAACACAATCATTCACTTCGGTTACTTCTGGTCACCAAACACATATATTCAGTATATTGACCTCTGGTCACATAACACAATCATTCACTTTGGTTACTTCTGGTCACCAAACATGTATATTAACGTTGGTTACCTCTGGTCACCTTACACCGCTGTTCATAAATTAACTTAGGTTACCTCTGTTCACCTTGGACACACATTGACTATGTTTACCTCTGTTCCAGTTACAATTATGCTCTGGTCACATTAAACACTCATTTAATTTGGTTACCTGTGGTCACCTTGTACATATATTCACTATGTTGACCTCTGGTCACCTTACAATAATGCTCACATAACACAATTATTCACTTTGGTTACTTCTAGTCACCAAACACATATATTGATGTTGGTTACCTCTGGTCACCTTACAATAATGCTCACATAACACAATCATTCACTTTGGTTACTTCTGGTCACCAAACATATATATTGACTATGGTTACCTCTGGTCACCTTACACTGCTGTTCATATATTGACTTAGGTTACCTCTGGTCACCTTAGACACATATTGACTATGTTTACCTCTGGTCCACGTACAATGATGCTCTGGTCACATTACACGCTCATTTAATTTGGTTACCTCTGGCCACCTTGTTCATATATTCACTATGTTGACCTCTGGTCACCTTACAATAATGCTCAGATAACACAATCATTCACTTTCGTTACTTCTGGTCACAAAACACATATATTGACGTTGGTTACCTCTGGTCACCCTACAACGCTGTTCATATATTGACTTAAATAAAGTTTGTTTAGCTTATTTGAACAGTTTTGTCTAAATTGCGTTAAAAATTTGAACTGAAAAAGTTCGTTATTAGAGTCATTCCACAATAGTGGTTTCAAAAAGTGGGACAGTGTTTTTTTTTTTTAAAGTGATAGTATCATGCCATAACTGGATATAACAGAGAGTTTAAACGTTTAACTACATGATATTGATAATAAAAAGATAAAATTAAGCAGATAAAATGTCAAAATGTGCTTCTGAAAAATGACTGTGGGAAAGTGACGTAGGTTACATTGGTGTCCAGTAAAATGATTTAAATACACATATTTTGTAATAGTGACTATTAAGTTTTTGCATTTTCAGTTCATTCCATTGAACCTAATGCACATTTTCTCTGTTAAGTGTCTCAATACTATTTTTTCTGGATGTTTGACTCTCTACAGTTTTGACCAAGCCTCACGAAACATCCTTATTCATGTTTAACCTATTATAAATTAACACAGAGACAACACAATATAAACTGCCTTTTGAAAACAATTTAAAGAGATAGTTTTAGTGAAAAATATACGAAAAGTTATTTTTTTATGAGTATGGAATAGAAAAATAAGAAAATTTGTAAAAAATGTAACGATCATTACAATGGACACCAAAAATTGTGTCAAAAACTAATATCCTAATAAAAAAAATAAGCGTCAAGTTTTCTTATATTTTGATAATGAATTTTATAGAAACTCCATCAAAATAGTTATACAAAGAATAGATATAACATCTACTAAACAAGAGGATGTTGAAATTCAATACAAGTCTAAATATTCCATGTAACAATCGTCACAGAATGTAACAGCCCCCGTACAATTATAGAACCTGTTGTATGTTCAAATAGTCATTTGAGTTTTGTAGAAAGCATCCACTGACCTATAAATGTGTAGAACTCATCAAAAAATCTTTCTTTTCGGTCTAAATCTAGGTTATGTGGACAAATTTTGAGCGAACCAAATGTCTGTTACACATTGAAACACCATAAGAATAAATTTAGTAATTAATACATTGAAACACCATAGGGGTAAATTTAGTGATCAATACACTATTGGGGGTCTGTTTTTTTCTGTGTTGAGTTTTTTAATGTCTAGATCTATCTAGAATATCTCTTTTGCTATATTGATTGATTGTTTTTTTGTGTTTTAACACCACTTTTAACCACTGCATTTAGGCTTTTTTGTTGCTGCCAGTCTTTATTGGAGGAAGCCGGAGTGCCCAGAGAAAACCACAGACCTGCACCTGGTTATGTCTTTTGTCCATTGATTGCCCTTTTTTACTCATGCTTTGGTTGTCTAGATTCTTATGAAATGTCAGTTCATAATTTCTTAATTGTTAATAACATATATATTTAAGGTGGGCAGTGATTTGCTTGTTCCGCATTGGTCAATAACATGGAACCGCTGGGAGGGAGTTTCGGTGAAATGGAATCTTTAATACAGTTTTAAAATTGATTTTTAAAGGGCTACCCAGAACACATGTACATTATAAGTACTAAGTAAAGCCATGAAGAGATGTAAACACAGGGAATCAAGAATAAATTTTCAGTAGTAAAACTCAAGCATAAAAACGTTAACCAAATATTTTATTTGACATAAAACTTGGAACACTCTCTGGCACAGATTCCTGAAGTTCAAAGATCTGAAAAAGAGGAAAATGGTACAGCATTAACTTTTGATATTAACTGAACTTTTCATTATAGTATTCATATATATATATATTACATTTTGCTATGATACATGTGTGGCAAAATATCTATTTTAACCAAATTAATAAATTTATATGAATAAAATAACATTGCTCTGTGTGTGTGAACATCTGAACTGTTAAGGTACATGTATTCCTTCATTGTACAGTACAAACAATGTATATATTTCTTGGTTGTTCTTGGAAAGATTTATAACTTTATCTACATGTACATGTATTATGTACATGAATTTCCACATACTTGGTGAACAAATGGCTCGAAAAATTTACATTCAATTGAGGTATTTGTTTCAATTGGTATCAGCCAGGACACAAATTTACACATTCAATATATATGTCAATGTATGTGTTATAGATCATCTTGAATTTAGTTTAGGGTATAATTCAGAATCATCACTGAACATTTTTTGGAATTATAATTTATGACTTATTCTATTTGTATGTGTGGACTTGGCCTATCACTCACAAACATCGGACTTGAATTACTTTGTAAAAGGGTGATCTGAGTTTAAACACTGTATTTTTTTTATATCTATATCTTTGGATAATGTAAACTATGTTTAATAAATAATCTCATATCTACCTTTGAATTTGTACATAAATCGTCTAGTTCCAATCAAACAGACATCTGGCGGGTCTATTGGTTTGACCACCTCTGATGATATTATGGAATGGCGTATCGATGCACTTATCCACAAGTCCTCCTTCTTGTGGGTATAGAAGTAAACATAGGGCCACACATCAACCTAAAACAACACAGTATTGATTTTTTTATTGTTCAAAAAGGTATAAAAAATAACAACCACTTATATATCGATACCATACAGTTCAATTTCATCAGATCAGCAAAAAGTTAAAGAAACTGCTTATTACAACTGTAGGCTGATGTTGTTGCAAACCCCAATCACAAATAATTATGATATGTGTAAACTAACTATTTATCCCTCTAAAATTGTGTAATTTAAAGTTACATTTTAGAAATTTATGTAATTATATAGAAATTATAAAACCTACTACATGTATAATATCTAATTATTTGAACTAAAGATCAATCTAGAATACAAGAACCCTTTATTAAAATTCTGGAAATTCAAAATTTTTACAAAAGTATGATACAAAATAGTGGTTAATTAGACATTTAGAAGTTTCTGCAAAACAATCCTAGAAAATATAACAGTAAAACATAATAAAACTTTAACTTAAACTGAACAAAACTGCAATACTTACAACAGCAGGGTATGTTTCTGTCCCTTGGGCAATAAGCAAATATTGCCACTCATATAACTAATACAATGTAAATATAAAGTTGAGTAAATTTGGAAGCTGAATTATGAACAAATAATTACACTGATATCTGAAGTCAACTTCAATAATTTATGAACAGTTGCATACATGGTTATCAGACATATGTAGAAACATTACTTGGACAGGAATTACAGTCAGCACTCATGAAATTTTATCATAGCCATCATGAGCTGATCTGCCATTATGACAAAAGTGTGTCAGAAATTGTATCTAGTATTCTTCCTCAGTCACAAGTAGCCTTCCATCATTAAAGGACTGGACAAAGAAATAACACAACAGGTGCCTTATACGGTGCAGGAAATGCCTACCCTTCCAGAGCACCTGATTTCACTGCCAGTTTTAAGTGGAGTTCGTGTTGTTACTTACTTACTTTAACTGTTTGTAAATGTCTGTTGTTTACTCCTTGATTTTGAATGTTATTGTCTTATGTACATTAAAACAATAAGTCTATTCATCACTAATATTTTCCTTACCTCTGTTGCTCATTACATCTTTTAGTGTAGTGCTCAGAGACTAAGAGCTGGTCATATAAGGGCTTCTCTTGGAACAGTACAATACTATTGTCCCTCTGTTCACTGTTATCCTGCAAGTTGGACATCAGAGCCTCTTCCGGTTGAACTGAAGCAAAAGGTTGGACATCCATGGGTTTAACTGTCATCAAGGACTGGTTATCTGTCAGTTTATCCAATAAGGAGTGTTGATCAGTGGTGGTCTCATCCTGAAAAACAGCATGAAATTGTAATGCATGTAATGGCATAAAATTCTTGCACACCTTTCATCATCAAGACAAAAAAGTTCCACGTACCAAATGAAAGCAATACATTAATGGGTCTAAAACAGCTTATTTAATTTTTTTTTAATGGGTGGCTCCATCATTGTCCATTATAACTGTATGATCATGCCCAAAGTCTGGGTCTGCAATTTACATAATAAATATAGATACCTTAGACACAACAATACTATTGTTGCTCTGTTCACTGTTATCCTGCAAGTTGGACATCAGAGCCTCTTCCGGTTGAACTGAAGCAAAAGGTTGGACATCCATGGGTTTAACTGTCATCGAGGACTGGTTATCTGTCAGTTTATCCAATAAGGAGTGTTGATCAGCTGTGGTCTCATCCTGAAAAACAGCATGAAATTGTAATGCATGAAATGGCATAAAATTCTTGCACACCTTTCATCATCAAGACAAAAAAGTTCCACGTACCAAATGAAAGCAATACATTAATGGGTCTAAAACAGCTTATTTAATTTTTTTTAATGGGTGGCTCCATCATTGTCCATTATAACTGTATGATCATGCCCAAAGTCTGGGTCTGCAATTTACATAATAAATATAGATACCTTAGACACAACAATACTATTGTTGCTCTGTTCACTGTTATCCTGCAAGTTGGACATCAGAGCCTCTTCCGGTTGAACTGAAGCAAAAGGTTGGACATCCATGGGTTTAACTGTCATCGAGGACTGGTTATCTGTCAGTTTATCCAATAAGGAGTGTTGATCAGCTGTGGTCTCATCCTGAAAAACAGCATGAAATTGTAATGCATGTAATGGCATAAAATTCTTGCACACCTTTCATCATCAAGACAAAAAAGATCCACGTACCAAATGAAAGCAATACATTAATGGGTCTAAAACAGCTTATTTAAAATTTTTTTTAATGGGTGGCTCCATCATTGTCCATTATAACTGTATGATCATGCCCAAAGTCTGGGTCTGCAATTTACATAACAAATATAGATACCTTAGACACAACAATACTATTGTTGCTCTGTTCACTGTTGTCCTGCAAGTTGGACATCAGAGCCTCTTCCGGTTGAACTGAAGCAAAAGTTTGGACATCCATGGGTTTAACTGTCATCGAGGACTGGTTATCTGTCAGTTTATCCAATGAGGAGTGTTGATCAGCTGTGGTCTCATCCTGAAAAACAGCATGAAATTGTAATGCATGTAATAGCATATAATTCATATAATTCTTACACACTGTGATAATCAAGTGAAAACAAATCCACGTACCAAGTGAAAGCAATACATTAACTGTTTAAAAATCTCATCATAGATACAAGGATTAATTTTGTATCTAGCCAGACACGCGTTTCGTCTACAAAAGACTCATCAGTGACGCTGGAATCCAATAAAGTTAAAAAGGCTAAATAAAGTAAACAACTTATTAAAAAAAAGTTGCTCCATCATTGTCCATTACTGTATGATCATGAACACATCTAACATTATAGAAATATTTACCATATTATATTGGTTATTGCTGACGTCTGAATCACTGTCATCAAGTAAATCCATGACCCATGAAGCCAGCTGCTCAGACAACCCGCTGATGTTTTCCAGGTCTATATCTCCAAGAGTGTCAGTACTGTATTCAAGGACATCATCATTTATGGACATCTTCAAAACTGGACAGAAATGGTTTGGAATCCAATGAGCATATGTCATTTCATCATTTCTGTTTGATGACCAGAGGATATATGCAGGTGTGTTGCTTTCCATTTCCCTTGGCAAGATTGATCGATTGAGATCTTTTCTCACATTTGGATTTCCACGATTTGGATAAACTGATTGCAGAGGCCTTCCCAAAACTGATGCAAGTGCAAAAATCTGCCAAATTCCCATGAATTCATTTGCACTGCATACTTTCCTAATCTCTTCAAATAGTGTTCTTTCTATCAAAGATGAAGTAATTATATCTCCAGGTGTATACAGCTCTGAATACATAACGTAAGACTTTGGGAGAACAAGCGCTTCTTTATCAGATAGTTGTTCACCTCTCCTTAAATATGTATGGTCCACATACAGCGGCAAATAGCATGCCAGTTCTAATGCAATTCTGGCACGTAGTTCCGTATGATTGTTTTCTGTTCCATACATTATCACACTAGCAGACCTAGGCAAGCAATTTCCATCACCAAGTACACTTGCAGGGAAATATCCTTCTTCCTTGACATCATCCGGCAACAGTTCCATCCCGACCTTGTCAATATGTAACCCACTTCCAGAAATAGAAATGTCTTCATCTTTGTTGCACCTAAGATGTGGTATTACACTTGCGAGTTCAGTTCCTTTAATCATCATGTCATCTACTGTAGTAGAGCTCTTCAAAGTTTGTAATATAACTTCAAAAAGAGTGTCCTTATTATCTTGCACTCTTGCAATATTGACTGATAGTTCATTGATTTGTGGTGAGGTATTTTCAAGAGAGTGCAATTCTTCAACTGTTGTGTCTTGTCTGTTAAATTCTTTTTGTTTTGGTAAATCCTGTGTTCTTTCTTGTGAGTCTGCTTTTTTGTGGCTATTTGAACGAGTTGCTCTTTGGTTTTTCTTGCTCAACTGTTTTCTTGGAGTTTCCTTAAACAAACCTTTGACATTTTTCTTGTCAACTTTCTTACTTTTTTTAGAGGTGTCTTTCTTGTTCAACTGTCTTCTTTGTGTCTCTTTTATCCAACCTTCTACCATGTCTACATTATGACAGGAACCAGATCCTTGTATGCATGTTGAGCTAAAACAGCTAAGTGTGCGCTTTTCTAGAGAAGCCGAATCATTGGAAGCCCTCACAGAATGAAGTTGTCTGGTTTCAGGAACAGCCTTCACATTGGTCCTCTCTTGGCGTTTTCTGTTGACATCACCTTCCTTTACTATGAAGAAATTTCTTCTAAAATGACAACATTCATTCTGCGAGTCTAGTGTTGGCCGTCTTAAATTTGCCTCTGCAAAATCAAAGAATTCACTTGCATTTTTCACCATGGCTTTTCTGTTTTTTACAGCATTTGTTACAATTCTTTTAATAACCCCGAATTCACCATCACATGGTCCTTTACCATGCCTGCTTCCAAAGAAGTGTTTCTCAACAGGAAAACCAAAGTCTGATTTGCTGTGAAGAGCATCTGCAAATGGGGTTTTCGACTTGAACTATGATGCTGCTCCATCACTGAAGTGAATCTGCCTCTTAGATTTAATCTCATAAACTCTTTGTATATACTCGTTTGCCAATGAAATACAATGTTGAACATAATGAAAGTCATGTTTTTTGTCTTCTGACACATAGATCATGCTTTGAGTTACGACTAACTTACAGAATTTGCATCTGATGTAGGCAACAATGCTGAAAAGAGTAACTGTGTCATGAGACCAATGTGCACTTTGTGCTTCATCCTGGTATATACATGTGTAATTTTCTGCAAAATCACTACAGAAAACAGTCCAATCATGTGTCACATGTCTGAATTCAAGTGAAGTTCACTCTCTTTCTTTAAACTTAGAACCTTCTTTGATTTTTTTTCATTTGCATGCATATACGTCTGCGTTTCCCATTTATACCATTGTATAATATGCCTTTTGTTCAAGTCTAACTGGGAAATAAACTTATCTACCCCACATAATTTGCATAACCTTTTAAAACATTCAATTTTGTAATATCTAGATCCTTCTGGTTTTTGGCATACAGTTCTTGCTAACAAGTCATATCTGGTGTTAATTCCTTTAATATTTAGTGCCTTTACTTTATATTGAATATTTGTACAATACTCACAAAGACAATTGTTAAAAATAGATTTACTCATAGTCTGTACAGTCTTGGGTCTTAGTGCAGTGAACTTGGAAAAATTTAATGTACATTCTTGGTTTTCTTTAAGGAATTCATTGTAGTTGTCCCTTAAACTGCTCTGCAAGATTCTTTTTGGTTCTTCAGATTTCAATGATGCCTGTTTTTTATCCGGCAGACATACAGTGTCAAAATCTTTGTAGAATTTTTCTATCTTGTCAATTGTATCTTCTGTCAAAGCATCACTTCTTTTTGGTGTTTCAGAATCTTCTTCCCATACATCTTTAAGTTTTGAACATTTAACTGCAAATTTCCAAGAAATGCCAGCCTTTCTCTTTTCAGCATCTTTAAGTATGAAGCTAGTTAAAAGTCTTCTTTTCTTTAAAACCTCCTTAGTGCGATGTTTTCTGGTTTTATGCAAATCATCTTTCATCTTGCAGATTATTTCTTGGCTTATCCTAAGATGTCTTTTTTTTGTTGGTGTCAGTAAAAGGCCATGTTTGGTCAATGCTTCTCTTTTTCTTGGAGTTGCCTTAGCAGTCAACCCCCCAACTACAGATGCAAACTTTTCAGGTGATGAAGGTAGATGCAACGAGGCTCTGTACACAGCCTTTCTTTCTGCTTCCTTTGTTGAATACCCTTGGTGAGTTTCTGTTGATTCAGCTGGCATTAGGTTTTCAGTTGTGCTCTTGGATTTATTCAATTTGTATTGCAACCGCCTTTTTTCATTAATTCTTCTTCTCTTTTGGCTTGAGTACTTTGCTCGTTGTTCTTCTTTTTTTCTCTGCCAGTATTCTCTTTCTGAACTTACTTGTGCACGTGTTTTTGGTTTAGGTTTTTTTTTTAATTTAACAATTTCCTCTGGTTTTCTTTCTTCTCCCCATTTACGTACTCGTAACCTCGTTTTTTCCCTCTGATTGATTTTTTGTTCAGAAGACCAATTTTCCCTCCATTTTCTATTTCGTTCTTTTTCTCTTTCTAAGTATGCAATATATTTTTCAGGGTCTTGTTTTATTTTGTCCCTGTAATTCTTTGACCTTTGTGCAGCAGTTTTTTTTTGTGATGCAGATTCTGATAAATGTATGGTATTTGTTTGGACATCATTGCTGATCTGTGGCCGCATTTGCGACCTCAACTTTAAGCGTAAAAACGACCTGAAAGAAATAATACAGTGGCATTATGCTTTCTGGTCTGTCCCAGATGTTTTTGGTAAAAGTTGTTTATTATGATGTTGAAGTCGTATCAACTTCAAACTTGGTATGTGCATGTTCCTTATAGTATGATCTTTCTAAATTGTATGTTAAATAAAGGTTTTGATCTCATTTTTATGGTTCACTATACTTAGAAATGTGATAATGTAATAAACTGTTGACAAAGGGATATGTCTCGCCTATATGCAATTTTGATAGTTTAATGCAATTGTTTAAATTAAAACAGCAACATTTAAACATGAAAACTATTGAAAAATTTTCAAAGTCAATGAACCATGACTGAAAATGTGATGTCAAATAATCTTTATGGGGGAGATAATTGTGCAAAAACAAATGGCTGAAAAGGTTATTTACCGCTAAGTGTCAATTTTGAGGGTTATTCGCCCTTACATGTACTTGCTATTAGGTGTTATACCACCATTGATTTTCCCCTATTAGTCTATGTTAAATTTGCACTTTTCAAAAAAATGTGCAGAATTTATCTTTGTTTCAAATAAAGAAATACTTGGCATGAGTAAAGTTTTATCCTGTCCAGTACTATAGAAAAAAATTCACATAACATTTCATTGCATATAAGACAATAACCATCACTGGAAGTTAACCAATCAAATTTTCCCCCTTTTTTAACCTGTGTACAAGCTTTAGTAACCATGTAACCTCAAGTTAACAAAATATTCTATAGAAACCCCAAATAAAAAAATAATGGTGCTTTGAAATACCCAAGATATATATTTATGACCCAGAAATGTTTTACTGCAATGAAATGTAGGATCAATAACTTACAACTGTCAAATTCAAGGGAATATTTTTTTTCGACCTATTTTCGTATGCAACCGGATGTGACGTACTATGATTTGGTGGTATTACACCTATTAGATGAAAATTTATTGAATAATTCCATGTCATAGGATAATATATTTAAGGAATGACTGTAATATTTTTTCTGTCTATGAAGAAATAACATAAAAAATGTGGTGCACACTGAATAACCCGCGTAGCGGGTTATTTAAAGTGTGCACCACATTTTATATCTTATTTTGAATAGGCAGAAAAAATATTACAGTCATTTCTTATAATTTAATTCTTAATTCCATTTCAAACCGGAGTAAATCATGAAAAAACGTTGATGACGTCACGATCACATGACAAAATTATGTCTATGAGCTGATAAACAAGAGTGCACACGCTGAAATGTCTCGCCTTCTTTACTAATCATTGATATTATGTTGATAGTCCTAAATATAAAGCTTTATTACAACTGTCACATAAACTTAACATTAACCAAGTAAACTAAACATTAAGTTAACCAATGAACCATGAAAATGAGGTCAAGGTCAGATGAACCATGCTAGGCAGGCATGTACAGCTAACATTTCTTCCATAAAACCAATTTAGTTGACCTATTGCTTATAGTTTAAGAAAAACAGACCAAAACACAATAAAATGCTCCGCTGGGGCGCAGCTTGATACAACCGCAGAGGTCGAACCCTGAACAGTTGGGGCAAGTATGGACACAACATTCAAGCTTGATGCAGCACTGAATTTGGATTGTAATTAAATATTTGACACAGCATAGGTTTCTGACACAGAATGAAAGTGGTCTAATAACTTAAAAAATTTTAATTTACCTATTCAAACCATATCATTATTATTTGCTTTTTATATATAAATCAGAAATAACCAATTTAAAATGGTAAATTTTAAAGAAAAAAAAGGGAAAAAAAATCCCCCCCCCAAATTTTTTGAACCCCCTTATGATTCATCACCCATAAACTCAATCCCAGCTTTCCTTTTGTGGTATGGAACCTTGCAGTACAATTTCCTAAAGATCCATACACTTACACACAAGTTATTGTCCTGAAACTAGAAAAATGCTTGTTTTTTTTGCCCTTTTATGGCCCTTAATTACTAAAATTTTGAGAGAATTACCCCCAAAATAAATCCCAGCCTTCCCTTTGTGGTATGGTACCTTGCAGTACAATTTCAGAAAGATCCATACACTTGAACACAAGTTATTGTCTGGAAACTAGAAAAATGCTTGTTTTTTGGCCCCTTTTTCCTAAACGTTTAGGGCAATTACCCCCAAACTCAAACCCAGCTTTCTCTTTGTGATATGGAACCTTGCAGTACAATTTCATAAAGATCCATACACTTACACACAAGTAATTGTCCTGAAACTAGAAAAATGCTTGTTTTTTTGCCTTTTTATGGCCCCAAATTACTAAAATTTTGAGGGAATTACCCCCAAAATCAATCCCAGCCTTCCCTTTGTGGTATGGTACCTTGCAGTACAATTTCAGAGAGATCCATACACTTGAACACAAGTTTTTGTCTGAAAACTAGAAAAATGCTTATTTTTGGCCCCTAATTCCTAAACTTTTTGGGCAATTACCCCGAAACTCAATTCCAGCTTTCCCTGTGTGATATGGAACCTTGTAGTACAATTTCATAAAGATCCATACACTTACACACAAGTTATTGTCATGAAACTAGAAAAATGCTTGTTTTTTGCCCCTTTTTGGTCCCTAATTTCTAAAATTTGGAGGCAATTACCCCCAAAATCAATCCCAGCATTCCCTTTGTGATATGGAACCTTGTGATACAATTTCAGAGAGATCCATAGACTTACACACAAGTTATTGTCATGAAACTAGAAAAATGCTTGTTTTTTGCCCCTTTTTGGCCCCTAATTCCTAAAATTTGGCGGCAATTACCCCCAAAATAAATCCCAGCATTCCCTTTGTGATATGAACCTTGTGGTACAATGTCAGAGAGATCCATACACTTACACACAAGTTATGTCTGGAAATTACAAAAATGCTTATTTTTGGCCCCTTTTTGGCCCCTAATTCCTTAACTGTTGGTACCATAACCCCCAAAATCAATCCCAACCTTCCTTTTGTGGTATTGAACCTTATGGTAAAATTTCATTGAGATCCATTCACTTAAACTAAAGTAAGAGTGCGAAAACTAATGTGTCTTCGGACGACGACGACGACGACGCCAACGTCATACCAATATACAACCACAAAAATTTGTTTGCAGTCGTATAAAAACTTAACACTGAGCAATGAACCTTGAAAATGAGGTCAAGGTAAAAATCAAAGAGCTGAAAGCTCTGAGGAAAAATGACGCCACTGTCTCTAATATTGTGATATTTTTTATGCAAGTCTTGATTTTCACATACCGTAATTAGTTTAACATTCCAACATGTCTCATAAGCATATAATTGATATTCGTATATGTGTGTGTTATGTGAAGATGACAACTGGCTGTTTTTTTAGTACAAATGTATAGGTCAAGACTACCTGAATGATCTACAGTATCCAATGACAACTGGCTGTTTTTTTCTATAAATAAATAGGTCAAGACTACCACAATGATCTACAATATCCAATGACTACTGGCTGTTCTTTTGTACTAATAAATAGGTCAAGACTATTTGAATGATCTACAATATCCAATGACTACTGGCTGTTCTTTTGTACATATAAATAAAGACTACCTGAATGATCTAAAGTATTCTAAGTAATGTGATTTTTGTCTTGCAATTACATTTTTCTAAATCAAGAATATAGACTACTAGTATCCTTTTCAAACCAAATGATTATGAAGAGCCTGTTGTTATCAAGCTCTTATACCCCACATACTCATTAAATAAGTTACTAGTGACCTAGTTATTTCTGTTACTTGAAGCAAATTATATTTCTGTAGATTTAGACAATAGTATAATATTGTTTTACTAGTTTTATTTCACCTTGAAGATTAGACAAATAGGGATACTCCTTTGATTTTTTATTTCATGTCAGTCAGGTCGCTTTATATGAAACTTGAAACCACTTCTCTGCCATATTGTTATTTCATAACAACTCTGCCCTTGACCATGTTGACCCATGTAATTGATATTCATTCTTTAACCATATATCATAGTCAGTTAGTTTTTGATTTTGCACTCCCACACCACCTTTCAGGTCAAATGTCTGTCTCCATTTAAGTTAATGACATTGAACAATCATGGTATTAAACACAATTCCAATAGTGATAATGCTGTTCTAGTAGGTCACCATATATTCAACTCGGGTAGCATTCCAGTTATTGAAATTTGTGTCAGATTAGAACAATGATCTAGACCTTTAGGAATGGATCTTACAATTTAATATGGAGCCATAGTATGGGACCCCTACACGGTAACACAAAAAAAAAACAAGCTTGAAAAGATACGTCGTCAAGCGGCAAAATCTATCACCAGAAATTACAAGTCAAGAGAGGATGGACGGGATACGTCTCTAAAATGCTTGCCTAACTGGAACTACAACAAGATCTCCAGACAAGACGAACAAGGAGTTGAAGCCAGAAGTTAATATTTATGTAAAAAGTAGTTGAGGGGCTGATTCCCGCTATTGAACCATACTGTCATTCTATACTATTATTGCGTAAGTATTTCTGTATTGTCCTTGTTATTGGTCCATGTCTTGGTGTATTGGTCTGAGGCGAAGCCGAAGGCCAATACTGCTGGCCGAGGACCAACAATAAGGCCAATACAGAAATACATGTAATAGTATCTTTATTAATTAACTACAGTGTTACAATATTTTTTTATTTCATTTCACAAGAGATAACCATTTTTACCTTGAAGTGGAACTATCCAAATCTCAGTTTCTTTTTATAAGATGCAATATCTAATGATTTGGTGCCGTTTCCATGCATCTTCAGCCTTTTCTCATCTGATGAATTTTTCTACCCTTTCCAGTCACTATAAAGTGTTACAACTTTCATTTAGACACAACACATAAATAGTAATTGGAAAGGTACTGCCATTGCATGTGTAATGCAAATATATTTAAAAAAAAAATAATGTAAGAGTTGAAATTGATACAACTTTCCATAAGCCAATTGACCAAAGAACGAAGATTTGCGCAATTACAGAATGCATATGCCTGGTTCGGGTTTAAAAATAAAAGACCGTTTACAAAACATGAGAAGCGAAAGTGAACAGTAAAAATCGACATGATGAAATTATGAGGTCGTCAAGAAATGAACTTTGTGATAATTTACTCGTTCCCTGAACCTGAAATATTTCCATCGTCTACTTTCAAAATGCTTTTCAAATGAATGGGACCGTCTTTAACCTAAAATATATGCCATACTGAACGTTTCAGCTTGTTTATGGTGAGTAAATAAAAACTGCGTCGTACAAACAACTGTTTACTTTCAGTTTGAGTTTATCGTGACTTACGATCTAAAAACTAGAGACGTTCCGAAATCCTGTTTTGGCCGGATCAGAACTCGGCCAATACGGAAAAAAAATCTGTATTGGCCGAGTTGACATCTTATATTGCATATGCAGTTTTCATCATTTTAAGTACAATAACAGTGTAGTTAATTAATAATGATACAGTTACAGACTCTGCTGTTATAACTTTGTGAACAAAGATTCATACGCACCGCGTGGGTATAACCGTATTACTAATTTCCGATTATTAAAATCTTCGTAAATCTTGATAAAGACCAGTTTCTATCCAATGGATATCAAAATGATTCCGATTATTACTTTTTTAATAATTGTAAAGTTGAAATGGCATGAAAGGCTGACATTATTAAGGAGAACTATTTTGTCTAGCGATTGCTGATCATTGGAGGGTAAAAAGTCCAACACCATAACAAAACGGATCTATTTATCATGTATACATACCGATTGTTTACGATTGTAAGACATGTGCATAAAAGTGAAAGCTCGAATAAATATGAAAAATATAACAAAGGGATAGCTCCAAATACCATTTAATAACAAAAAACATATAGACAGGTCAAGATATCTTTTTGGTAAATAAAATAACGTATGTAAACTGGTTCCCGTCCGACTACAACACTTTAACAAAGACTTTGTTCGAGTGTAGTGTAATACAAGCAGATTCCAGTTAGTATGTAAAATAGTAAATATGAAACCGAGTGCGGTAGGCGGAGGCATAATCAACTTCCGTTAGTTCTGGTCAATGGTATCGGAAACATGCCGCTGATAGCGTCATTTTCCAAAAAACCTGCGTGACTGACAAATAGATCATAAAATATTTCCATACACCAAATATAGTTGAACTATTGCATATAGTATTAGAAAAAAAGACCAAAACTCAAAAACTTAACTTTGACCACTGAACCATGAAAATGAGGTCAAGGTCAGATGACACCTGCCAGCTAGACATGTACACCTTACAATCATTCCATACACCAAATATAGTAGACCTATTGCATACAGTATAAGAAAAACAGACCAAAACACAAAAACTTAACTATAACCACTAAACCATGAAAATGAGGTCAAGGTCAGATGACACCTGCCAGTTGGACATGTACACCTTATAGTCCTTCCATACACCGAATATACTAGACCTATTGCTTATAGTATCTGAGATATGGACTTGACCACCAAAACTTAACCTTGTTCACTGATCCATGAAATGAGGTCGAGGTAAAGTGAAAACTGTCTGACGGGCATGAGGACCTTGCAAGGTACGCACATACCAAATATAGTTATCCTATTACTTATAATAAAAGAGAATTTAACATTACAAAAAATCTTAACTTTTTTTTCAAGTAGTCACTGAACCATGAAAATGAGGTCAAGGACATTAGACATGTGACTGACGGAAACTTCGTAACATGAGGCATCCATATACTGATTTTAATAGTTCGGTCTTATGTTGTACTGTTATACCACTGTCCCAGGTTAGGGGGAGGGTTGGGATCCTGCTAACATGTTTAACCCCACCACATTATGTATGTATGTGATTGTCCCAATTCAGGAGCCTGTAATTCAGTGGTTGTCGTTTGTTTATGTGTTACATATTGGTTTTTTTATATAAATAAGGCCTTTAGTTTTTTCGATTGAATTGTTTTACATTTGTCATTTCAGGGCCTTTTAAAGCTGACTACGCGGTATGGGCTTTGCGCATTGTTAAAGATCGTACGGTTACCTATAATTGTTAATTTTCGAGTTATTTTGGTCTCTTGTGGTGAGTTGTGTCATTGGCAATCATACCACATCTTCTTTTTTATATTCACACATTACAACTCATCACTGTTAAGCTGGTGGCCAAGTATGGGTCATTCCGCTCATTAATTTGAAGTAGTGTTTGACAAAAATATTTAACAGGCAAATGGACAAACAGACGGATTTTTATACAAGGTGATTGCAATATAGCCCCCACTCTTAGAGTGGAAGTATAGTATATGAAACGTATATAATATACCGGATTTAAAGTGGTTTCTTCGGTATCAGGCAATCACACTACATTTTAGTCTTATCCGATATTATTGCGCAAAGTTTATTTCAATAAATTTTTCCTGAAATATAATATTTTCTTTAATGCAACAAGATCTTTGTTTAAATATAAAATCTTCGTGTCCATGTGTAACAATCTTTAGGTGTACTAGTGTCTCAATGTTACAATCATCACAGAAATGCCAGTATAATCATTACAATAGTGGCAGTGCATTGGGAGTATGCAAAAATAAACTTTTGACATTTGAAATGCAGATGGCATTATAATATTTATTAAGTCTAACATAAACATGTTTATTTCTGCAATTCAAGATTTTAGTGTCCCTGTGTAACTATCACTTAAAATTTTGGAGTCTCAATGTAACAATTGTGTTTTATTCTGGTGTCTCCATGTTACAATCATCACAAAAATAGTGACTATATTGTCACTTCAATATTTACAGAGCATTTTGCAAGTATGTAAATGAAAAAAATTGACATTAAAGTCCATTAAAATGAAGATGGCATTACTGCACATAAATATTTTCTAAAATAAACATGTTTTTCTGCAATTCAACATGATTGTTACAGAGACGCATAATTTTGGTGTCCCTATGTTACAATCACTTTGAATTCTTGTGTCTAATTTGTAACAATCGCTACATAATTTGGTGTCTCAATGTTACAATCATCACAGAAATAGGGACTGTATTGTCATTAGTAGGCATTACAATAGTTGCAGTGTATTTGCATGTATGCAAATGAAAACTTGTGACATTAAAGTCCGTGGTATATTTAACCATTAATATTTGCTTTAAAAATTATGTGTTTTCCACAATTTTGCTTGATTGTTACCGAGACACAAGATCTAAGTGTCCGTATGTAACAATCGTTTCTTAAAACGGTGTCTTTTTGCATGATAATATAAAAACATTTTTTTATTGTAACCAAGGGAAATATAAAGTTCGTGGATATCGATAGACTTTATACATTTCTTCTTCATAGGACTGGTAAATATTTGCATTATTATACAATACTTCAACTATAAATAAAGAACTGAGAATGATCGTTACTTGTGTCGATCGTTAAATTTCAGGACACAAAAACGTTACCTACCCATTCTCCGCCATATTCCATTTGTGTTCCCCGCTTGTACACGTCAATGATTCATGTGCACATGCTATGTCACTAACACAAAAATTGAGGTTTTGCTGATGCGCAGTAAGAAAATATAGGTGAATGAATGATCGTTACAAACTGGACGCGAATGTCAGCCGGTGCATTTCAATTACGATCACGTGTCAACGGAACGTCTTTATGTTATTGTTTTCACATTTTACACAGAGAAGACATAATTGGTGCATTTAAACATAATCGCTCATGCATGGCACCTACAATTAAAAATCCTGAGACCATTAGTTTTGGGTTATACAGTGGACACGACAGTAGCGATCGTTTACATTAATTTCAAAACAATATTTTTACCTTTTTTGTTTATTTTTCTCCAACAAAATCGCGTATAATAACGGTTTAAACCATCTACTTCACCATAGATTACTCAATAAAACATAAATATACAAATATAACGTATTTGTGTATAATTGAAAACACCGTACCAAGGATGTCCCAGAAAATGGCCGATTATTTTACCCTACTTCATCATAAACTGGTTTCAAAATATATTTAAAAAAACATTAACAACCGAAATTATATCTTCTTTTATTTCTTTGATATGCTATTTAAAGCATGACATTACGAAATGACCTTAAATATAGACCAAAGACTTAGTTTTTACTTGTTTTAAATGAGAAGTCTATTTTTAGCCACTACCGTGGAATGACTCATATATCCCCATTATTATTTAATCTATTGATAGCTTACCTTACTATCCCTATAGATCTATCTATAAGCAGCTTAGCTTGAATGTTAAATAGTATGGTGCTGTTCCAATGTGTCTTCTTTTTCTGTTTCTTGAGGAGGATTTTTTCAACCTGTTCAGTCACTATAAAGTGTTACAATTCATATTTAGACGCAACACATAAATGGTGACCAAAAAGGTACCGCAATCACAGGATGGACCCTAAAATCAAAAAAATAAAATATACACATTTTTTTATCTTTTTTTTATGGGACAAGGAGATGTGATTTTATTGCCAATGTATCGACAGTTATTTATGATGATTCATAGACCGAAAAACAAATAAGTGAACAAATTACAGGTTACGGTAGGGCCTTCAATATTTCAACGGTCCAGGTTGAAAAATAAATGACATGACTTGAAAAAAAAACATGAAAACTAAATAATAGACCAAAGTTGAGCCCGAGTTACATTCATTGAAATATTTGAAATAATTATGAGGTTAACAAGACATGAGCTTTCAGATAATCTACAAACATGCTGCCCACACCTGAAAAAATAATTGTCTGCTTTCAGAGTGCTTTCCTAAAATCATGAATGAGTGTGATCGTCTTCTGGCTGAACGCCAAGCGTATAAGGATAAGATGTGATTTTAAAGGAAATTATCCATCTGATAATTTACAAGTAAATAACAGATTTTACCTGAACTTCTTTGCTACATGTATGTAAAACTAGAGGCTCTAAAGAGCCTGTGTCATTCACCTTGGTCTATGTGCTGCAGTGCATATTAAACAAAGGACACTCTACAACATTAAAGACAAGAAAAGAATTCATGACAAAATTCTCTGTTTAGGTGATGGTGACTTGTTTGTAGATCTAACTTTACTGAGCAATTTTGCTGTTTACATTTTATCTCTATCTATTATAATATTCAAGATAATAACCAAAAACTGCAAAATTTCCTTAAAATTATCAATTCAGGGGCAGCAACCCAACAAGGGGTTGTCTGATGCGTCTGATAATTTCAGTGCAGATAGATCTTGACCTGATGAACATTTTTACTGCATGTCAAATTTGCTCTTAACATGCTTAATGCTTTAGTTTCAGAGATATAAGCCAAAAACTGCATTTTACCACCATGTTCTATTTTTAGCCAAGGCGGCTATCTTGCTTGATGGGTGGGGTCATCGGATACACTTTTTAACCTAAATACCCTAAGGATGATTTAGGCCAACTATGGTCTGATTTGGCCAAGTAGTTTCAGAGGAGAAGATCTTTGTAAAAGATTACAAAAATTAAGAAAAAATTGTGAAAAAAATTGACTTTAAAGGGCGATTACTCTTTATGGGGTCAATTGACAATTTTTGACATGTTTGACTTATTTGTAAATCTTACTTTGCTGAACAATTTTGCTGTTTACAGTTTATCTCTATCTATTATAATATTCAGGATAATAACCAAAAACTGCAAAATTTCCTTAAAATTACCAATTCATAGGCAGCAACCCAACAACGGGTTGTCTGATGAGTCTGAAAATGTCAGGGCAGATAGATCTTGACCTTATGAACATTTTACCCACATCAGATTTGCTCTAAATGCTTTAGTTTCAGAGATATAAGCCAATAAAATGCTTCGCTGAGCGCAGCCTGATATGACCGCAGAGGTCGAACCCTGAACAGTTGGGGCAAATTTGGACACAATATTCAAGCTTGATACTGTCTGAATTTGGATTGTGATCAAATTTTTGACATAATATAGGTTTCTGACACAAAATAAATGTGGTCAAATATCTTTCAAATTTATTGCGCAATACTGTGCAATGAAAGATTTCTTCTTGAAAATTTTCAAAAATTCGAAATATGAAAAATTTTGAAAAAAAAATATGAATCCCTTAAAAAAATTGGAAAAAAAATCCCCCCCCAACTTTTTGAAACCTACTTGGAGCAATAACCCCATTACTCAATCTCAGCCTTTCCTTTGTAGTATGGAACCTTGTAGTACAATTTTATAGAGATCCATACACTTAAAAAGTTATTGTCTGGAAACTAGAAAAATGCTTGTTTTTGACCCTTTTTGGCCCCTAATTCCTACATGTTTTGGGCAATTAACCCCAAACTCAATTAAACATTGTGGTACAATTTCAGAGCAATCGAAATACTTATACACAAGTTATTATCCTGAAACTAGAAAAATTCTTGTTTTGGACTATTTTTGGGCCCCTAATTCCTAAACAGTTGAGACCATCATCCCCAAAATCAATCCCAACCTTCCTTTTGTGGTATTGAACCTTCTTAAAAAATTTCATAGAGATCCATTCACTTGAACTAAAATTATTATCTGGAAACCAATGTGTCTTCGGATGACGACGCAGACGACGATTACGACTTCATACCATTATACTATCCAAATAAATTTTTTGCTGTCATATAAAAACTGCATTTTACCCCCATGTTCTATTTTTAGCCATGGCGGCCATCTTGGTTGATGGCCAGGGTCATCGGATACATTTAACTAGATACCCTCAGGATGATTTAGGCCAAGTTTGGTTGTATTTGGCCCAGCAGTTTCAGAGAAGAAGATTTTTGTAAAAGTTAACGGATAACTACGGACGATGGACGCCAAGTGATGAGAAAAGCTCACTTGGCCCTTTACTGCATCATACAGATAAAAGAAATTTGACTTATCGGTATGTTTGCAATACATTCATGACATTCTGCATTGTTTAAGGCATGTTTAAAGCAGAAACAATGGAACGCATGCATTAATTATTCATTTTCAATACTTTGTGAAAGAGAACAACATGTTTTATGCACTGTCATGACTATGACAAACTTCAAATGGTGTAATGCAACCTGTGACGTCAAGTGTGATTCGCTGTGATTCAACACAATAAAGTACTGTAGATTGTTTGTTCTTTTCTTTTTTTATTATAGTATTTTTCATTTTTTCATAATTACAGATAAAAAAAATAAAGGACTTTTTGTTTAACATGTTTAAGATACTGACTTTAACACTGTAAAATATATTTTACCATGATAAAGTCAGTATCAAAAACAAAAAGTCCTTTATTCTATATTTCTCACGTAGTCGCATTAATCACAATAAAAACCTCTCAATAATTTCTGAATTTACAATATCAACATTGATCAATGTATCTAAATTTGTCTACCTTATTGAATAGTTTCCCGAAATATTCAAAAACTCATATGTATATGCATACTTAATTGAAGCTATATAAATAGAATAGGTAAATTGTTAACAGTAAACATGCTTTTATAGACAATACTATACAGTATGTGTTTTTCTGTTGTTGAAGGCCATACAAGTGCCTATAATTGCTTCGCACAGTGCGGAGCTATTAGTTTCAGTCGATAAACAAGCCATCTTGAAATAATTACTAATCACATATAAATTCTGATTGGTTGCTTTATGATGCGGCTGAGATACAGCAACAGCTATTGGCTTAAATGAGATAAAGAATTACAGACTTTTCTTGTCTCAGGATAAGACACCAAATGCCGGAAAATTAACTGTGTATTCCGATCAACTGTCATTAGTTCATGTTCGTTTTATTATGCATATATTGCACACTGAAATTCAATATTGAAATATCAATTATTAATACGTGTTTATTTGCTTTGTTAATCTGCAATATGCACGATTTGTTTAGCTAAACAATGTTCCTATACAATGTTTACAATAAAATGCTCCGCTGGGGCGCAGCTTGATACGACCGCAGAGGTCGAACCCTGAACAGTTGGGGCAAGTATGGACACAACATTCAAGCTTGATACAGCACTGAATTTGGATTGTAATTAAATATTTGACACAGCATAGGTTTCTGACACAGAATGAAAGTGGTCTAAGAACTTAAAAATTTTCAATTTACCTATTCATACATGTGATGGACTGTGAAACTCAGATCAGGAGATTGGGAAATTTTGGTCAGGAGATTAGGACTCAGATCAGGAGGTTTTTAATCGACATTAATTTTGTTGTAAATGTAACCGTGTGCTGTAAAAATGGTCTTTTAAAGTGTGTTTTCTTCAACTTTCCATCCAATTTATTATGTTTATAGTACCCTTGTACTTATAAAGTTTCTCCATCTTTATATTCTACATGTTCAATCTAACATTGTTTTTTTCCAGTATGTTCTTTAAATTTTTTACTTCATATTCTATAAAACAATCATTGCAACCAGAACATTTGTTTAGCTATCTGCAAATAGTTTTTATTTTTTTTTTTTCTCTTGCAAATAGTTTTTATTTGCAAACTCAGAAAATCATTCAATCTGTAAA